AGCTTATGGCTACCACTGAAGGAAAGCAGGGATCAGCTGGTTGGCAATGGCCAGGGAAGCAAACTGAGTCCCCTGTACCAGGAGTGTCCTGGATCCCCTCAGAGACCCATAGTTCTTGGTGGTTAATCCGAGTGAAGAGGAGGAGGACGAGAAGGAGAAAGGAGGAGGGATACGGAGGACAAGAAGGCGTAGGAAAGCAGCTAAGGGGCCTGTGAGATGGCTCCGAGGTTAAAAGAACTTGCCTCCAAGCCACATGACCAGAGGTCAACCCCAGCACCCACATGATACAAGGAGAGAAATGACTCCTGCAAGCTGTTCTCAGACTGGCACATGCCATGCGCGTGTGTGTGTACATGCTTAAAGCACCCACCCCACACAAATAAATACATGCAGTCTTTGTTTTGATTTGAAATAAGGACTCACTATGTAACTCTGTCCTAGAACTTGCTATGTCAACTACTTGACCTTGAACTCAGAGAGTAAATGAATGTAACCTTCTGTTTTGTTTTGTTTTCCTGACAGGGTTTCCTTGTGTAGCCGTGGCCATCTTGGAGCTTGGTCTTTTAGACCAGACTTGCTTGCAACTCACAGAGATCCGCCTGCCTCTGCCTTCTGAGTGCAGGAATTAAAGGCTTGCGCCACCACTGCCCGGCCTAGCCAGCTTTTCTTAACTTAAATTATCCCATCTACCTTTTGTTTCTGGGCTTTTACCTTTCTCTATTCTAAAAACCTTTCTTTCCTTCTTACTCCGTGGCTAGCTGTGTGGCAGGGTGGCTGTGTGGCTGGGTGGCTGGGTGGCTGGGTGGCTGTGTGGCTGTGTGGCAGGGTGGCTGTGTGGCTGTGTGGCAGGGTGGTTGGGTGGCTGGGTGGCAGGGTGGTTGGGTGGCTGTGTGGCAGGGTGGTTGGGTGGCTGGGTGGCAGGGTGGCTGTGTGGCTGGGTGGCTGTGTGGCTGTGTGGCAGGGTGGCTGGGTGGCTGGGTGGCTGGGTGGCTGGGTGGCTGTGTGGCTGGGTGGCTGGGTGGCTGGGTGGCTGGGTGGCTGGGTGGCAGGGTGGCAGGGTGGCTGGGTGGCTGGGTGGCTGGGTGGCTGGCGCCTGGTGTGCTCCTCACCTCCTTTTTATTTTTCTCCTCTCTCTTCTTTTCTCTTCCTGGCAGCCTCGCCTATTCTGCTCTCCTGCCTTGCTATTGGCCATTCAGCTCTTTATCAGACCAATCAGGTGTTTTAGACAGGCAACATAAAAGAATGAAACACATCTTTGCATCATTAAGCAAACATTCCACAGCATAAACAAATGTAACACATCTTCAACCAACATTCCACAATGTGACACCTAAATTCAATCCCTGAGACTCACATAGTGGAAGGGGAAAGCCAACTTGACAAGTGTCCTCTGACTTCCACACGTGTATAGTGACATGCACACACCCACATAAACAAACACACAAAGGAATGAATACATAAATGTAGTTTTCAAAGAGTGTTTAAAGAATGGGCTGGAGAAATGGCCCAGCAGTTAAGAGAACTTGCTGTTCTTGCAGAGGACCTAGGTTCAGGTCCCAGCTTTCACATCAGGTGGCTCACAGTGCAGCTCCCGGGGAGCCCACGCCCTCTTCTGGCCTCCCAGGGCACTGCACTTGTACATATACACACAGATTATACATGTGTATATGTGACTAAAAATTTAAAACTTAATCGATTAAAAAACAAATGAGGACAGAAATGCCAGCCAAATCTCCCAAGCAGACCGGTCCAGCCAGCATAACCACACGGTTCCCTCCACTAACATCACCTGGTGTCAATCAGCTATTTTTCTGTTGTCGCCCAGTCCCCTTTCTGCTGTCCTGAGCCCTCCTCTGTCTATAAACCCAGGCTCCTCTGCTCAACCTTTGGGACCCTCATTCTTTTTCCTAGGATAACCTAGTGCTTGGTTCTAGAATCCCTAATGGGGCCGATTGAAGGCTTTAAATTGTTGTCCTTGTGACTTGCGACCACACCAATAGGACCTGTTGATGATTGGATACGGGGTGTGAGATGGGCGGTCAGGATGGCTACGCGGTTTTCAACCAAAGCAACTGGGCGTCAGCGTTGCTGCCAGCTGGGTGGGTCAGGAGGATGGCTTAATCGTGTTAAGTGTGATATGCGTATTAGGCAGGCAGCTGCATCCAGGCAGTCCCCAGCCCTTTGGTGGGGTTTAAAGCTACCCGAGAGAGGGATGTCTCCAGGAGATTTTGGATGAAGAGATGGGATCCAAAGATAGTGGGGAGTGGCTGGGAGGAGGGGGGGCTAGAAGAGCAGGAGGAGGGGGATGAGCAGGAGGGGTGTGGAGTGTGAGGTCTAGAAGGAAAGAACTGTGGTGGGTCAGAGAGGTGGACTGAGGGGTGACAATATATGAGCAGATTGATGACTTTCCCAGAGAGAGACGGCTTGGTTGGGAGGTGCAGATAATTCAAGGTCTAGGTCAGGGGGGGTGCCCTTCAAATCGGGCAGTTCAAGAGGATTCAATAAAAAACACTGAGTAAGGACAGGGGTGGAGCAGAGAAATCACAGGGAATGTGAAACATTGAGACCAATATTATTGTTGCCAAAAATTACAAGGAAAAAGGAACCCAGAGCCATTAGTGAGGACAGGGACCCAAGAGCTGGGATCCTCCACTGAGGGGCACAAGCTATGCAATGAGACAGATTTCCCCTGCAAGAATGGGTCCTGGAGAATAAACCTCTGGCACCAAAGAATCCCGTCTCTGGGGACACAGGAACACATGGCAGGATGGAGACGGAGATCTGTCTAATGAGGGCAGAGGAGGTTCCTAAGAAGAGTGTGTGCTGCGCGTTTCTGATGAGTTTTGAGGCATTTCCAGAACATTCTATGTCCATAGTGTCCTATGTGCACAAAGAGTGCCAGAGGGGGAAAAAAAGTCCAAAATTGTGGCTGAGATGGTAAAATTGTAAAGGGATGAATCTTTTTTAACAAACTATTTCCAGGGGCTAAGAGAGATGATTTAGCAATATTGTTTTTGCAGAGGACCTGAGTTAAAATCCTGGCACCTAGATTAGGCATCTTACAACTGCCTGTAACTCTGACTTCATAAGATCTGATGCTCTCTGACCTCCTTATGTAGACATGGGCATGCATGTGTGCATACATACATACATACATACATACATACATACATACATATTTTTAAAAAAAACAGACTGTTTCCAAAGACAAAGAGAAACTGGTAAGTTTGGCCAAAGAGGCTCCCCCAGTCTCTCCTCCATCAAGGTCTCACCCCACCCCACCGCTCTTTGAGACAGGGCCTCAAGTAGCCTAGGCTGACTCAAATTATGTAGCAGAGGATGAGCTTGAGTTGCAGGTATGTACCATCACACCAGGTTTTAAGTGATGCTGGGATCGAATCCAGGGCCTCATGAATGCTAGGGGAGCATTCTGCTGTTAGAGCTACAACCCAGCCACCCCCGCCCCGTCCCCCCCCCCTTTGACCCATCCGTCTTCCTGCCTCGCTGATTCCCCTTCTAGCTCCAAGGCAGGCTTCCTCCCCTGCTTCATCCCAGTTCCCCTAAGCTTGGCCCTAGATCCTTACTCTCTCCTAACATTCTTTTCTAAGATGGAATGTGGACACAATGGCTGGCTCTCAGGCAATCATATTGAACCATGAGGTGTTGTACATTCAACAATGTCCTTCATGAGTTCTGTGAACTCACCTTTGTATTCAAGGCTTTCTTTCCAGACTTTTCTTTTTTTCCGTGTGTGTGTGTGTGTGTGTGTGTGTGTGTGTGTGTGTGTGTGTTTACATGCAATAGGTACATACACACCACAGCACATGTATGAAGGCAGAGAACAATTTTTTGGGAATTAGCTCTCTCCTTTCCCCATGTGGTTCCCAGGAACTGAACTTGGGTCATCAAGCTTGGTAGCTAGTACTCTTACCCACTGAGCCATCTCCAGAGAGCTACATACACTTATGTTTAAGTCACCCTTTTCGGGGATATCTGTTATCCGTAGCTTGAGTGTGATCCAGATAGGTCACCTCAACCTGGAAGCCGAAAATGCAATCCATATTTTATTTTCTATTTCCAAACATTTTCTCGTCATTGCCCAGCACATCTGATTTATGGTCTGCAATCACTTCAAATAACATGAGACAGGTATCCCAAGAATGAATTCATGAAGGAAATGACCCTAGTTACATTATCCAAGTCTCAAGAAGAGAGCACAGTCTGGAAAATTACCTAATTCACATATTATGAATGAACATCTGGTTGGTTTTAACATCTCTATAACCTGGATGTGCCTTAAATCAATGTCCTACAATTACCTGGCATTCACTCATGATCAGGCTGTGTGAAACCTCCAAACCATCTATATAAAGGGCCAGCAGCTGCTGGGTGTGGTGGCTCACACCTTTAATCCCAGAACTCAATAGCTAGAGGCAGATGGATCTCTCTATGAGTTCGAGGCCAGCCTAGCCTACACAGTGAGTTCCAGGTGAGTCAGAGCTACATGGGAGAACATCTTTAAAAATTAAATTTAAAAAGAGCCAGCAGTGTAGCATGATAGGTGAAAGAAAATGAAGTGTGTTACCAACAACTAAAAGACAAGGACGGTGACTCAGTTAATCCTCCCCAGCCCCATTGGTTCAGCCTCGGCCAGAGGATGCTGGATGTCTGACTCTTCAGATCTCATTCTGGAGACTTTGGAGATAGTTCAGTGGGTAAAGTTCTTTGCCACACAAGCATGAGAAACTGAACTTGAGTGCTCAGCACCCACAGAAAAGAGGGATGTGGCAGTGTGCTTCTGTAATCCCAGCCCTGAAGGACAGAGATAGGAAGACGCCAAGGGCTTTGCTGACCTGCTAGCCTAGTAAAAAAGAAGTGAGCTCCAGGCCAAGCAGTGACGGCGCACGCCTTTCATCCCAGAGCTCGGGAGGCAGAGGCAGGCGGATCTTTGTGAGTTTGAGGCCAGCCTGGTCCACACAGCGATTTCCAGACCAGTGAGGGCTGTTACACAGAGAAACCCTGTCTCAAAAAACCAAATCAAACAAACAAAAAAGTAAGATGGCCGTTATCAAACCCTGCCCTCTATACAGATCTACAAAGGCAGGCACATGCATTCACACATACACACACACACACACACACACACACACACACACACACAAAACATTGTTTCCTCATTTCTTGTCACTCCTAGTACCTCACCCTTTCTCTTAAGGCAGTGTGGTCTTCACACTTAGGCAAGCATCAGAATTACCATAACGAGCCAGGAAATTTTATTTCCGGGGCCCAATCCACAGAGCTTCTGATTTGGCAGATCTGGGCAGGGCCCAAGTATCTACATTTCTACTAGGTCCCTGGCCTCACTGATTTCATTGCTGTGACAAAACACTTTACATAAGCAAGTTAAGGAAGGAAAAGGTCACGCTGGCTCATGGTTCCAGGGGACACGGTCTATCATGGCCATGGAGCATGAGGCAGCTGGCCACATCTGGTCCATAGTCAGGAAGCAGAGAGATGGGCACTGGTGCTCAGCTGCCTTCATCCTTTGTGTTCATTTAGGACCCCAGCCTAGGGAATGGCACCACCCACATGGAGGTGGGTCTTCCCACCTCAATCAATCAGTCTCCACGTTTCCACGGAGATGGAGTCAACAGGATGAACCGTCACAGCAGCTGATGTTGATTCTGCTGGTAGGGGACCGTGTGAATCTCTTTTCCTGTCTTCCTGTATTTATTTCATTTTCCTTCATTCACTGTTCCTGTTCAGATTCTTTTTTTAGGGGGAAAAAATAAGTATACTGAGTCACACTTCTCAAGTCATTCTGGTCTCTTTTTAAACTCCCATGCAATCTGGATCTTAGAGACAAAGTCATATGACATTGGCTGTTTTTGCTTCCTGACCCGCAAGTCAACAAGAACCTAACTTAATGGTATTAATTCCTGTGCCTCAATATACGTCAGCTGGCATGTCATATTTATACACAGAGCATCCATAACTTTTTGTAACCTCCCATGGCGGAATCTGGCAACTAGTTGTGACCCACCTTCTGTAATCAAGATATCCAGAACTAAACTTAAAAAAAAATTAGTCGTGTGTGTGTGTTTGTGTGTGTGTGTGTGTCTGTGTGTGTTTATGGATGGATGAATGTATGCTCACATGTGCATGAGGGTGCCCAAGAAAGCCATAGGAAGGTGTTGGGTCCCTTGGAACTACAGTTATAGGTGTTTGTGAGGCACCAGCCCATGTCCTTGGGACTGAACCACAAGCAATCTGACCTGCCCAGCCATCTCTCCGGCCCCAGGGCTCACCTCTGATTTCTACTGGAGTTGATCACAGGCTTAGATGGCTCCCTGGACGCCAGTTTGTTCCCATAGTGTTGAGTGCCCTCTGGAGCATTGTTCTCAACCAGGGGTGACTAGCTGCCCTGGGACACTTGGAAACATCTGGAGAATGTGTATGTGGCAACTGGGAGGGTGCCACTGATGTGGCTAGCCCGAGAAGTTCAGGAGCACCCCTACACCAAAGATGAGACAGCATAAAAGTAGTGAGGATGAAAAGCTACATTGGGAGGGAGCTATTGTGGTACCCATAGCATGCTTGCATCCTAGTCTTCAATTCAGACAAAATGGACCAGAATGGACTTCCTTAACAAGACCCTCACCACACTTTGGACAGTGCTGTCCTTGTCCTTTATACACCCACAGGAATTTAGTTGACCTTAAAGACCAGGCCTGAAGTCATTGCTCGGCCCCCAGTGGTGGCTGCAGGATTTGCTGGCAGGCAGAAGGTATGCTGAGGACCAGAAAGGGTCCTTACTCCTGGAGCTGCCTTCATCAACTCCAATTCCCACCCCCCACCCCAGAGTTCACGCTCAGGCCCACTCTGGAGTTCAAGGTCAAGTTGCGGTGGCCTAAATACTAAAGCCAGTGGAGTCCCTGCTGTGCCTGGGCCCTGTCTCTCCCACTTTGCCATGTCCCTCCCTGTGACCCTGCTATGGCTCCTGAGATTGTCTGGGAAGCTTACCTCAAAAGCCACTTGCCCTTGGCTTCCCTGGGTCACCTCCTCATTTGTTAAGCTCCCAGATCAGTCATCAGCTCCAGAGCCTGGAGACAGGCTCAGTGGAGAACAGCACCCTGCTTCCTTGTCTAGATTTGGACCAATTGAGAGACAAGTGAGTCAGTCGGGTAGAGATCAAATTACCCCTGACTTCAAAACGTATTGACTAAAGCTAAATTGGAGGAGGCAGCTGATGACTGTGGAAGCAGTAAACTTCCTAATTCCAGTCCCTTAGAATTAGATGACTAACCAGCCTGGCCAGGAACCCCCGCTGAACAACCAGGGTGTGACAGCCTTCTCCAGCTAAGCTGGACACGCAACCCGAAGAGCCGTCCGCAGGTGGGCAACCCTGTGCCACCCAGGAAAGAGGGGAAGGAGCTGACATACCCAGAGTCCTCTGCCAAATCTGTTCATCCTGGGAGAATCGGGAAGGAATAGGGTGGGTACTGGGGAACTGGGAAGAGTTACACCAATGGATGGTCTACACATCAGAGGGAAACATCACCAGCAGGGCATAAGTGTCCCCACACAAGAACGCTCATCCTCAGGCTGGGGATGTGCCTGGAGTGCACAAAGTCCTGGATTTGAGTCCCAGCACCCAATGAAACTGGGTGTGGTGGCACACAACTGTGATCCCAGGACTCAGGAGGCAAAGGCAGGAGGATCAGAAGTTCAAAGTCATCCTTGTTGCCATTGAGTTCTAGGACAGCCTGGGACGCATGAGACCCTGACTCAAAACAACACAAGCAAACAAAATTTAAAAAACAAAAATGAAAACAATAACCATCAATGCCTTGCTACGACATGAAAGTCTCCTTCCAGTTTCCCCTCTCTTCCCAACATTTGAAGAAGTCTCCAATGAAGTCATAGAGGCAGGTGCATCTTAAAAATAAAAGCACTTGGCGATTTTCTTTTCTTTTTTCCCTTCCGCTAACGCATTTGGAATCCCATCCCTGTGTCTTTCATGGAGTGTCTTCTCTTCTGTGGCATGTGTACAGTGAGCTCCTGGCTGTGGGATACTCTATGGTGTTGCCACTAGTCCTTCAACCTTGCAGAGTGACTGGGTTTGCTTCTGTGGGGTTTAACCAACTGGAGTCATCCCTCCATCTCTCTTTGTGTAGGCTTTGGAGGATTTGTTTGTCATGGACACGGGTCTCTATCTGTGATCATCAAAAAGACAGATTTTGCTTCAGTGCTGTAAGTACCAACACCCCTTGATCTAATGGAAATTAGTTTACTTTCAAAGTTACAACCTGTGAAGTTGTGCTGCATTGCTATGGAAGCATATGTAGTGTTTCCTCTACCATGGCCACTTCTGGAGATTTTTTTACCCATTTTATTTTTGCTTCCCATTTAGGAAGCTTCTGTGGTGAAGGTCACAGTTAATCTCCTGTTAGCCCAGATCTGAACGAGCATGCCATCTCACCCAACTAATTTATTCTTTATCTTTATTATATATCCATGTGTGTTGGCCTGAGTGTACATGTATGCACCTCCTACGTACAGTACCTGAAAGGACCAGAAGAGAGTATTAGATCTCCAGGGAACTGAAGTTACAGGCGGTGTGAGCCACCCAGTGTGGGTGCTGGGAACTGAACCCAGGTCCTCTGCAAGAGCAACCAGTGCTCTTAGCTGCTGAGCCATCTCTCCAGCCCCATCGCCCAACTAGTTTAAAAAAAGCATTTTAATCTGCAGACTATGGAATTTCATCTCTACCTCTCCCATGCCTCTCCAGCTGGGTAGTCAGTTGAAAATGAGCAGGACTGGAGGCCCTTGAGGAAAAATCCCTCCCTCATAGTCAGCCTCGGGCCCCACCTCCTGTATCCTGCTGCCACTCATCCTAATGGGAAATGTTGTAATTGTAGTTTGGCCTGCCGTGTGAAAGGAGGAAGGGCACACCACCATTGAGCTGTTTTGAGTTCCTCCATACTGGGTGAAACGGCAGCTACTGGGTAGCATTTAGTCCCATTTTGAGCAAGAGTGCAGGTGACAACTATGTGCATGCAGACACCACCCTGTCCAGCACCACCCAGGAGACATGGACAGATGATAATAACTTATTCCCCAAAGTTAAAAAAAGCCCCACCTATGCACTCACCAAAGTGTGTAGAGAACACATGGGTGTGTGGATGTATCACAAACAGGCCAAATAGACAAGATCAACAGAGGGCATGACACCCTCCTTTGGACCCCTGAAAAAAGAACATGTAATATTACAATATCAATGACTCTGTCAACCTGTCATCCAGGTACCGTGTGTGTGTGTGTGTGTGTGTGTGTGTTTTAAAGGACCAATAGAATAGACAGGCAACCCCAATTGTAATCAGACATTTCTCACCTGCCAGCCTGTTCCCAAATACCCAGCAACTGATTCCCAAGTAATTGACCCTGATGCTTAATATAAATTATAAATGCTCAGTCAATGGCTCAGGCTTATTACTAATTAGCTCTTACACTTTAAGTTAACCCATATTCCTTATTTATGCTCTGCCACGTGTCAGTACCTTTATTAGCATGGCATGTTCATCTTCTGTTCCCTCTGCATCTCACTGGTGACCCCTGACTCTGCCCTTCTCCTTCCCAGCATTCTCAGTTTGGCTCTCCTGCCTAACCTTGTTCTGTTCAGCTATTGGCCAGTCAGCTTATTTATTAAACCAATCACAGCAACCAATCTTCACAGTGTACAAAAGGGTTATTCCATAGCACCCCAACTGTCTCAGGGGCTTCAGTTCAGCACAAACAGTGGGTCCCTGATGCTTGGTGTTTCCTGATCCCAACTGGCATCTGTATGTCCATTCATCACTTTACCCACTCAAACAAAGTCTGCACCCCACCTCCATGCTCCCATGCCTCTGCAGTTAGGATCAACCACACCCTGTTGATCAGGTTGGATCAGACCCAGCAACTTGGGAGCCCCAGGTCAGCTCTGCCTGGCTCCCAGAAGTTCTCCACTTGGGCGTGTTAATCTCTATCATCCTCCTGCAGTGACTCTCTGCATCTCTGTCAGCTTTCTGCCTCTGCCTCTGCCTCTGCCTCCAGTAAGGCCTCTTTCTGTAACACATACAATGTAGCATATATGTAATGTGTCCATTCCTACACACATGCACACACACATATCCAACGGTGTAGTGTGTACTGTGTGTTCTGAGTTGATATCAGTTACCAGGACTGTAATAAAAGGAGCTATGATTGCCAACAGCCATGCTTTCTAGGGAAATCAGGACTACTTGGTAAACTACAGCCAACGAAGCTAACATGGCCTGTGAATTTACTGTTACTCAGTAAATTCAGACACTATGGAAAGACACAGATTTACCCATCTGTGTTTCTAGTGGGCCATGCTCATGACAGTTGTCCTAAAATTTAAATTTAAAGTCCTATGTGAAAGGACAGCTACAGATTGCAGACTGGACAAGGGGAGGGGATGAGAGACCCCTTCAGGGAAGACCTTACCATCCTAGTAAATCCTCATGCACACTCACATGCACAGGCACGCGCGTGCGCGTGTGCACACCACACACACACACACACACACACACACACACACACACGCTAACTGTGCCAGCACACACAGAGGCCAGAGTTGGTATCAATGGATCTTCCACCTTAATTTTTGAGAGCGGGTCAGTGTCTCACTGAGCCCGGAACTCACCAGTCCAGCTAGACGGACTGCCCAGCTGGTCCTGGAGCCTACCTGTCTCCCCATCCCCACAGATACAAGCTCCACACCTGCTTATGAGAGAGTGCTAGGGACCCAAACTCTGGTCCCTATGCTTGCTCATCAATCAGTTTGCCCTCTGAGCCATTGCCCAGCCCCACACATGGATGTTTTTATGTGTTTATTTAATTTTGTCTTTCTTTAATTCGGTTAAATCTGTTCTGTGACATGATTTTCTTATCAGAAGAATGGAATGTGAACTTTATGGCCCTGGCCCTGGGTGGAGTCATGACTTTATGAACTGTCAGGAAGATCTCAAGATTACCATCTGGCAGAAGGCTTTTAGATGAAGAGCAAGGATGGGTCATTGTCCCCTCCCTTAAGAGTTAACCCAAATAGGCCTGTCAATCACCATGAGAGAAAACACTACTCAGGCAGCAGGCCTGTGCTAGTGACTTTGGGTCAGAGGAAAGAGAGCTTGCTGTTCTTGCAGAGAACCTTCCGAATTTGGTTCCCAGCACCCACACCAATCAGTTCACAACTTCTAGTTCCCGGGGACCTGATGCCCTCTTCTGGCCTCTATAGGCACTGCACCCTCCCTGTACATAAAACCCCACAGACATACACGTAAAAATATATATGCATATAGTTAAAAATAAACTGTGTAAGGAAAAGAAAAGAGCATAAAATCTACCTAAACATGTAGATCAGGACAGTGGTCTCTCTGACTGTTGTCCTCTCTCCAGAACAGTGTCAGTCTCTTCAGTGGCCCCTTTGGTCAGTGTCCAACCTGGTGTCACAGGTGAGTGATTGTGAGTCACTCAACATGGGTGCTGGGAACCAAATTTGGGTTGTCTAGAGAAGAGAAAACTCTCTTAACTGCTGAGCCACCTCCCCATCCCCCTCTCATACTGTTTTTGTTTGAGGTGGTCGCGGACTTGGAAGCCCAGCACTGTTTACCTGCTGTGCAGGGCTCTACCCCGGAGCTCCATCACTAGCCAAGTGTTTACATCACCTCTCGCTGCCTCTTCTTCCCAAGCTCGCCATTTCTCTTTGGATAAAAGAATTCATATTTTTAGGGGCTTGAATGGTAGGTAGGGTATTACCTGAGACATCCTTGGTATGTTGACCTCTTGAGGGATATGTGGATTGAAATCTAAGGTTTATAGAAAATGCCTCCAGAGGGGCTGGAGAGCTAGCTCGGTGGTTAAGAATATTTGGTTCCCCACACCCACAGATAGCTCACTACCACATATTACTCCTGTTGGGCCCCGAAGGACAAACCAACCAGCTTTCAGCCACTGCCCATGGCAACAAGGTTGGAGCCAGACTGAGTTCACAGAACAAAGCTGAAGACGTCTGAGGACTGGAGAGGGTCAGCCTTCTCTGTTTCCCCCAACAGGGAGGAGGAAGCTGGAGGCCCTTCCATGTATGTGACCATAGAAGTCACCTTAGACACAAGAATAATGCGGAGAACAAACGGGAGAGAAAACACACAAAGATATGGAACATGTTCCATGATCCAAACCGGCCAGAAGGTTTCTGAACTTCCAGAATCTTCATTGGCTGTAACTAGCAGGGAACTGCCCCTGCTTTTGCTTTCCAGTGTGCTCTTCAGTGTATCCGCAGCACAGAGTAGGTCCCCAGCACAGAGTAGGCTCTCAGTTTAGTTTATTCACAGGGTAAACATTATTAATAAGGTTACCATGCGGTGATGGTTCATCTTCATCATCACATTGACAGGATTTACGGTCACCATGGAAACACTCCTGAGTATGTCTCAGCAGAAATTTCCCAAAAGCTTTCACTGAGGAGGGGAGACTCACCCTGAATGTGGCCATCACCGTCCCTAGGTCTAGGATGGATAGAAAGTAGAAATGGAGTTGAGCATCAGCCTCCATCTCTCTCTGCGTCCTGACTGGAGATGCGATGTGAGCAGCTGCCCCATGCTTCCCTGCCATAATGGACTGTGTGCCCTCGAACTGTGAGCCAAGCACACCCTTCCTCCTTAAGTTCCCTTTGTCAAGTATTTTGTCACAGAAACCAGAAGAGTCACTAGCACAGCCCCTCTGTTCAGAGGGCTCCAAGGATCTTTAAGACTCTCAGAAACATCAGAAGCTGGTGGCGGGGTAGTGAAGGGTGACAGTAGCCTTGCAGCATAGTGCTCTGCAGGAAATTAGTAAAACGTAGCCTTTGACTTGAAGATAATGATGATTGCATTGACTTCTGAACAAAAAAGGTGTGTGTGTGCGTGTGTGTGTGTGTGTGTGTGTGTGTGTATTCATGAGTGTGTGTTGTGCATATGTACTTGTAGGTGTACACAACCATGAATGTGCATGAAGAGGCCAGAGGAGGACATCAAGTCTCAACTGGGTGCTGGGGATTTGAACCCTGGGCCTCATGCTTATATAGCAAGCACTCTTGCCAACTGAGCCAACTCCCTAAACCCCTACTCCTTTTTATGTTTTCTAGACTTGTAGTCTGAGCTGGCTTTAAACTCCTGTGTACCCAAAGATAAATGCCAGCTTCAGATTCTCTTGTCTCTGCATCCTGAACTCTGGGGTTCCCAGTGTGCCCCCCACATCCAGTTCCTGCAGAACAGGTGATCAAAGCCAGCACTTCACATATGCTGGGCAAGCATTGCGCCACCTAGGCTCCATTTCCAGCCCCACCAAAGATGCAGATTTATACCAGGAGCAAGAAGACAGTCCTAAGTGCCTGAGGTCTTCATCCCCTCAGCATCTCCAGCCCAACCTCCATGCCAGCGCCTCCTTCACCCATCACCCTTACCTCCACCCTCCCCACGTTCTCTCAAGCAGCGGCTGAGGTCCCACGCAAACGCTGACACACGGGCTGCATGCATGCCTTTCCCAGTGATGGAGTGCCTCCAGCTCCCCACAGCAATTGCCTCCTCTGGACTCAGAAGAGGGGGTGAGAAACAGGAATGAGAGAGGGAGACCCAATATTGATGGGTTCCCCTGGGGGACAAGGCTGCCTACAAGAGGACTTTCCATCTCATTTCCTTTTCATCAGGGTTACAACCCTAAAACATCAGTCTATTTCCATTTTCATAGATGATGAAGCTGGGCTCAGAGAGGTGACCAAACCAGTCAGTGTCACTCAGCCTCTAAGTGAAGATGCTACCACTCAACTCCTGGATTTACTGTAATTCTGTCACATTCTACCAGAGGTATGAAGGCCCAAATACCAACCCTGTCCGGAATGTCTGAACCCCTCCAAGTCCAGCCTCCATCAGCTTGCACTTCAATGGGGAGCTTCCTCCAGGAAGGCATCCCAGATTTCCCCACCACAGGCAGGTACAGATCTATGGGAACTTTTAGGGTCCCCAACTTGCCCCAGCCAGGATTCAAAATGGATGTAAAAAGCAACTCTCTCAGACTCAGGCTCTTCTCCTGCTCTGACCCTGCTGAAGACCATGCTTCTTGGGGATGAAATCGATGTTGCCCTGTTGTTAGAAGGTGGCTCTTCCTGTGACTCATGGTTTGAGGTCTCATGACCCAGGCCAAAAGCCAGGGACCGCCATCAGAGCCCTCATTAAAATCAAAAGGAAATGGCAAGAAAAAGGACCTCTCTTACTAGACTGTGACTCACAGCTTCCAGGTGTACCAGGCAGGTGGACTCATTTCTGGTCTCCATCACCTCTGCACCGAGGACAGCGCTGGCAGCACCCGGGAGCGCCCGGGGTGGGGGGGTAGTAACAGGAAGTAGATGGGTAGGGCTGAAGGTGCAGCCCGTGCACAGTCTTGTTTACAGGGCTTCCCTCCTGTGTTCAAAACTTTTCATCCCAAATCGCACAGCCCAGGGAACCTTCTCCTCCTGACTCCATGGAGAAACTCCCCAGGGACGGGGCCTCTGGCCCAGGATGTCTGGATTCCTTCTCATGAGGCTCAGCCAAGGCCAGGGAAAGAAGACAGACTCCAGACCCTAAATGAGCAGCTGAGGCTTGAAGTTTGGAGGAGGGGTCTTTAGTCACAGGCCCTGGCCACTTCCCCAGACTGAAAGAAAAACAGAGTATAGGAAGACGGGCTTTATAATTGTGGAAACATAAAGTCAGACTACTATACTCATTTCTCTGATTTTATAATGCCATTACCTGAGAAGCACTGTGCTCCCCACAAGGGGCTAAGTTGGCCCTGGGTAAGTCCTTTGGGGCTACCTGGGTCCACATTGTGGCTCCCCATTTACTGATGTGTATAGATCTGTTCCCTCCTCTGTAACAGGAGAATAATGGAGATCCAAGTGCTTGGGGGCTATTGAAGGCATGGCTTTGACCTTGTTTCTGAGTGGCTCACCGCCCCCCCCCACATGCTCAGTGAGGGCTAGTTCTCATGAACCAGGTGAGGCAGGATGCCTGTCTCTGTAATTGACAGGAGCACAGACATGGCCTGCCCAAGGCCTTGTGATCAGGGGTGGACTCAGAAGTCCCTGAGTGTTGACCATGTCAAGTTATCTCAATCAGGGAAGGAAGGGGAGGGGCACTTCGGTCAGGGAAACAGGGCAGACTTGGTGCTTGGCCCTGTGAAAGCTTCAGTCTCCCCACCATACTGGGTCTCATGCACCAAGTTGGTTTAAAGGGATGGGTACGAGACGAAGCTCGAGATTCGGGGCACAGCCACTGGGAACAAGGATTGCAGTGTTGAAGCATAGGGGTCTGGGAGGTGGGCAGGAGGAAAGACAACACAAGACTGCCCCACCCCTGTTCCCACACCCCCTTGGAGGCAGAGCCCCAAGGGCACTAGCTGGCCCCTCCCCTGGGAACTTAGCCAAAGTGTCAAAGCTGGAAGAATAATTGCATCACTGGGCACTCCAGGGTTAATGACGGGGAGTGGGCAGGACCTGTGTATTTAACTAATTGGAAGGTGGCCTGAGATCAGAGGCCCCTGCTAACATCCTCCCCACTACAGCAGGCTCCTGAGCCCCCTGCTCGCCTCCCTGAGATGAAACCTCCCCTTGCCCTGGCCTTCCTTTGCCTCCTGGGTAAGTGACCCTCAGGACCTCCTTGCTGCTTCCTGCCCCATCTGGCAGGAGGAAGCTCTCTGGATGCCTGAGCATGGCCCTGCACAGGGCATCATGGGTACCAAGAGCTAGAGGCCACGGGCCACCTGGTGACCCCGGGGCATGTACTGCCTGAGCCAGCAGTGGCTGGAAGAGAAGGAAGGCAGGGGGAAGGCTGAGGAGAAGGCAGTGGGGAGGGCAGTGGCGGCCATGGCATCCCCACTCCAGACAGGTGCCTCCCCACAGCCGAATCAGAAGGGTCTGGAGGTATCTAGGGAGGCCCAGAGAGGTGGCTGGGAAACAGGCTCAGGTGGATCATGAGGTCCTTGTGGGGAGCAGGGAGATGGGGTTGAGGTCTGGGGAGATTAACATTTGCAGGGGGGAGGGAGGGGATTTAAAGAGTCAGTGGAGAGCTCGGACACAGCATGAGCGGGTGGAAGGGAGTGGACAGCACTAGGTGGGTAGGAGACTGCAAAGACCGACAAGCATGAGGACCTGAGTTCGAATCCCCAAGACCTACATAACAGCTAGGCATGGGGGCACACATCTGTCATCCCAGTGCTGGGGGAACTGGCAGATTCTCCTGACTTGCTGCTAGCCAGACTAGTCAAATAGGCAAGGTCTAGATTCACTGAGAGATTCCATCTCAAAAAGTAAGGTGGGAAGTAATAAAGATACCAGCACGGTGGTGGTGGCGGGGGTGTAGGCCATTAATCCCAGCATTCAGAAGGCAGAGGCAGGCAGATCTTTGAGTTTGAGGTCAGCCTTGCCTACAGCAAGTTCCAAAGCCATGACAGCTACACAGAGAAACCCTGTCTCGAAAAACAAACAAAAAGATATCTGATACCAAGCACTGGTCTCCATGGATGGATAAGCACATGCTTCTCTCTCTCTCTCTCTCTCTCTCTCTCTCTCTCTCTCTCTCTCTCTCTCTCTCTCTCTCTCTCTCTCTCTCTCTGTGTGTGTGTGTGTGTGTCTGTGTCTCTCTTTGTCTCTGTCTCTCTCTCTCACATACACACACACACATACATCTCTCTCTCTCTGTGTGTGTGTCTGTGTCTCTCTTTGTCTCTGTCTCTCTCTCACATACACACACACACATACATCTCTCTCTCTCTCTCACACACACACACACACACACACACACACACACACACACACACTCCCAGGTGGGGAGTCAGGGAGACAGAGTGATAGGCTGGGATCTAGGGGATTAAAGCACAAACATGCCATTGTGGTGTTGTTATCAGCATCATTGTTATTGCTAGCTGGATGTTTGGGGGAGGGAGCTTAAATGGACAGTTGGGGAAATGTCTGGAGTAGGATCTGAAGGGTTTCACGTTGGGGCCGTGGATGAGATGCTCACTGCCCCTGAAGGACCTTGTGGCCTCTGCCTCCTCTTCTGTAGTGTCCCCGGCCGGCGGGAACCTGGTCCAGTTTGGAGTGATGATTGAGAGGATGACGGGGAAGTCTGCCCTGCAGTACAATGACTATGGCTGCTACTGTGGTGTGGGTGGCTCCAACTGGCCGGTGGACCAGACGGATTGGTGAGCAGGAGGACCTTTGAGGAGGAGGAGGAGACAGGGAAGCTGCCTGGGAGGAAGCAGGCGCTGGGGGCACCTAGACAGAAGGGATTCACACTCTGCTTTCATCCCTCTGAGTCCTGGAGCCCCAGACGCTCCTGCTTCCAGCCCAGTCCAGCTCCTCCTAGTTAACTCTGACCCCACAGGTGCTGCCACGCCCATGACTGCTGCTATGGACGCTTGGAGAAGCTGGGCTGTGAACCCAAGCTGGAAAAATACCTCTTCTCTGTTGGTCGAGACACCATCTTCTGTGGTAGGTGGCCAACCCTGGAATGAGCCAGACACAGGGACACTGGATAGGCAGGAGTCCCTCCAGTTGGTGACACAGGGACACTGGATAGGCAGGAGTCCCTCCAGTTGGTGACCTTGTCACAGGGCCAAACCCATTAGGCTTCCCATCATCACGTAAGTGACAACACTTGTCCATCTGTTTCGATTCTTACTGGGCTTCTGAGCCCCACAGTCTTGTGACTCAACAATGTATAGCCCTTGCCTTGTCTCAGCCTCTGGGGAGTAAGCAGAAGGGACTGAGTTCGCGCGTGCACACACACACGTACACACACACACACACACACACACACACACACACACACACACACGGAACTGGATTCACACAACCCTGTCCTAGGAGAGGCCAAAAGCCCCTATTCTCACAAGCTGTTCATTCCCACTGGGGCTGCTGAGTTGAGCCCACCTCCTCCACCTTGCCAAGTTCGATGCCCATGTGGGTGGCACTATTAGCTTTCCTCTGGGCCTCAGCTGGGGAAATAGCCAAAAGCAAGAATGCCCAAAGTCACTTGAATCAGAGGATCCAACTTCCTTTCCAATGTAATTAGGAACCCTGAAGGAAGGTAGGGCCTGGCGGCTATGGGATGCAGGGAAGGACCCAGGCAGTCCGAGGAACAGGCTCAGCACCGAACTCAGGTTCGTGCCAAAGTGTGATCCAAGACCAGTGCCACTGAGGATTGTCTTGCCCCTGCAGGAGATCACTCAGCAGGGCAGCTGATCAGGTCCTTGTCACCGAGGGTTCAGGCAAGGGTGGGGCAATCCACAGTTGGGATGGCACTGAGAGGATGTTAGGGGAGGAGTCAGATGGATGGAACATGGATTCTTTGTCTTATGTCCACCATGGTACTTTGAACAAGGGAATGGCCTGTGGAAAGCCTGCGTGACTCCTTGCCTGTCATGCCGAGATAACCACGCCCGTCTCCCCAGCTGCCCAGTGTCAGGACCTCGAGTGTAGCGCTGGGTCCTGCTGAGACGGCAGGTGTGAGCCCCTGAAGGGAAATGCTCATCTTTGAGGGGAAAATGAGGCACCAGACCCTTCTGGACAGGGGGGTGGATTCCTGGGGACTAAAGAGCCAGAGCCACTAAGGGCACAAACAGCACAACCACAGAGGACTGAAGTAAGGCTTCTAGGTGACAGGCACCTGCCATGCTGATGCCATCAGGCTCTGGGGAAGGTTGGGGGTGGGGCAGCCTGAGACCCAGACTGGGTACAGGTTCTGTCTACTCTGACAGAGACAGGCCGAAGCCCCCAAGAAGCCCCCAGTATTAGTCTAACAGCCTCTAGCCTGGATACTGGCCTTCACTAATGATGTCCTCACACAGGGGAGGGTTGGTATGGGCCTGGCAGAAAGAAGGTGAGAGGTTGTGAAGCTAGGGTCCTCTCAAGGCAGGAGAGGGCTAAGACCATGTGAGTGGATTTGGAAAGGAAGGGAAAAAAGTCAGGCCAAATTTATTACTTTCTTAGTGTCCTGGGCCTGGCAAGCCAGCCCACCCAGCCCTTGACTGGCAAAATTATGGACCATCCCCTTGAGTGTGGGCTTCCATCAGAATCGGGAAAGTGGCTGAGGATGGGCTGGGAACCTGAACCACAGAGCAGCCGGGAGTCACTCTCATGCCGCGGCTGAGAGCCGGAGCCAGCCTGCACCCCAGTCCCTGGCTTGTTCCCATTCCCCTCCAGGTGGCAGGACGACTTGCCAGCGGCAGACCTGCGAATGTGACAAAAGGGCTGCCCTCTGCTTTCGCCACAACCTGAGCACATATAACCGCAAGTATGCCCACTACCCCAACAAGCTGTGCACCGGGCCCACCCCACCCTGCTAAGGCCCCACCGTCTCCCTAGCCACCCCAGGCGGCGACTGTCCCATGCCTGGTAAAGCTTGGAACCCAAATCCCTCTCCTGCAAACCCATCCCTCCCCTCAGAGCTCCCAGGCCCTGACCTCAGGGGCCACACCTGTTCCCCAGGATCAGCTAAAGGAGCCACAGGACCCTTCAGCACCCACAAGACTGACTAAGTCTCCCCTGGCATATCGGTTCCCTCTTCTGAGCGAGGGAATTTATTCCCCTGTAAGTCTCATATTCTTCCATTGTCTTCCTGGAATTTAGATGGTAGTTTCCTTTCACGCATCCATCCATCCATCCATCCATCCATCAAGTCCGCCACATGTTGAGTACCTATCCTGGGCTAGCACAATGCTAAGCACTGCCTTACAGTGGGGACAGATGGGACATGGTAGCTCCTGCCTGCAGGGCCAGCAGTAAATCCTTTGTTTTCTACAACAGTAAGTGTCCATGCTTCCATGCTTCTAGTCCACAGTCTGAAACTCACTCTGTGGACCAGTCTGGTTCTGAAATCCAAGACCCACCTGCCTCTGCCTCCTGAGGGTTTGGATGAAAGGTGTGCACAACACACCTGGGCTACGCTGCTGCTGCTTTTTTGGTCTACAGCCTTACCCAAGACTGTCATGTTTCTCTCCGGAAGGAACATTTCTGGCCAAATGGCTTACTATAAGAAGCAATAAAATATATATATATATATATGTATATATATATCAAACTAAAAATACTGTCCCCATTGTTATCAGGCCTCAAAATGCCTCTACTGGCAAGGACTGGTTTAGATGGGAAAGTAGCTTTAGATCTATCTTATCTAACCCTCACTTAAAAAAAAAAACTTTTCTATTCTTTTTTTTTTTTTTTTGAGGCAATGACTCATGTAGCCCAGGCTGGCCTTGAACTTGCTATATAGCCAACAATAACCATGAACTTCTGATCCTCCTGCCTCCACCTCCTAAGAGCTAGGATTACATGCATGAACACCACGGCTGGTCTTACACAGTCCTGGGGATAAACTCCCGCATGGCTGTGTTAATCGGACCTAACAGATGTCAGGCCCAGATGTGAGGTCAGCTGTTCGCACACAGCTGGCTCAGGCTCCTGACAGAGCAAGAAGAGAAAGGAGTTCACCCTGCTGTGCCCATTAAAGGATTCCCAGCGGGAGAGGCCTGCAGCTACTCCAGAAGCAAGCTGTGCAGGCAGCTCCCTCGCAGCTCCAGCTGAGATACCTCCGCCATCGCAATAAATGGGCAGCCACGTAAGGTTCTAGAGGAGCCTGCTCCGTGGCACAAAGCAGCGTAAACACTGCACAGGGCGCGTCTCCCAGAGGACACTTGATAAATATCCACTCCCTTTGTCCTTTCCATGGTACAACAAGATCCCCACGAGCATGAAATCAAAGGGATGCGTCATCGGGAACTTCGAAAGGTGAAGCATCTCACTGCTTGAAAAGAAAGAGGTGGGCGGCGGGTGCGTCTGCTGTAACTGACTCTAACCATTAGGCAATGAGGCCGTAAATCAAAAATGGTCTGTGAGGGACGCCAGCCTGACCCTCATTTGACAGGAAGTGTGGTCCCACGGCGCCCTCTGGTGTCCATCTTCTTTTAGACGATTAGGAAGACTCAGCTCTGGCTTTTGCCCGCGGTTTCCTAACCTCTATCAGGGGGGCCAAGTGTACTGGGCTAGTGACACTTTCAACAGCAAATATGCTGAGAGACCACCGAAGGCAGCCTCACCGCCATCTTAGGATGACGATGGACTTGATGAACGGGAAGTCCAGCAATGGAAGCTGCGGTGTGCGATTCAGGTGGGAAGGCCCGGGGGTACTTCCGGGATTTTAGGTTCTATGGGAGACGTAGAAACAAGACAGCCGAGCGAGCAGCCTGCAGTGACTCAGCTCCCACCCCAGACCACCTCAATAAATATTCAGCGGATGAGTCAAGGGCTCTGTCTCCATTTGCATGAATGTGTCCTCGGCACGAACACTGCACACCGGAGCTCAAGGCTGGTGGATATGACTGACAAAATAAGAACCCCGAACTTGAAGTTCTTCACAGCAGCAGATCTGGCCCAAGTCGGTGGCTCTCAACCTGTGGGTCGTGACCACTTTGGGGGTGGCATATTAGATATTTATATCATGATTCCCAATTGAAGCAAAATTACAGTTAGGAAGTAGCAATGAAAATAGTGTTATGGTTGGGGTCCCCACAGCATGAGGAACTGTATTGAAGGGCAGCAGCATCAGGAAGTCTGGGGACCACTGCTCTAGACCCTTGCCCACCCAAGGAGGCTGACAGACGACAACATCAGCAGCTGCAGCAGTGGCAGTCGTGTAGTTAGAGATCTCAGACCCAATGCCAGGTCTGCCGTAGCAGGGTCAAGAGGTTACCAGGACCCCCAGGTGTGTAGGAAATCTAGGAACTGCCAATTTTCACAGCTTAAGTGTTTGCACGAGTAAAATGGAATGGTGGAACAAACCCATGCTAAGGTTTAGTTAAACACACATAGAATACATTTATATGCCTACCACATAAGCACGTTTCATGTATGCCCTAAGAACTGATGGCTGTAAGAGTAGCAATGCTACATAACAGTTGGATTTGCAGAATACTGCCCTTGAGTGCTTTATGTGGACCCATTGAATGGATGGATGCGTGGATGGACAGACGGATGGATGGATGAGATGGATGGATGCATGCATGGATGCATAGATAGGTATGTGACTGTGGGGGAGTGAACGGATGGGCGGATGGATGGACAGATGGAATGATATGTGGGATGAGGCAGTAAGTTAACAGATAAATAGATACATGGGCAGATGGACACATAGATGTGTGCACCGATGAGTGGGTGGGTGGGTGTGCTGTGCCCAAATTCTGAATCCCCAAATCACCGAGACCCATTCCAATGCAAAAGCAAAGAGTTTTTAATTATTTAACCAGTTAATTGTATTAACTCAGTTCCCCGGACCGTCCAACACGGTGGGTGGGGCAAGAAGGACCCGGAGTGATAAAGAGGCAGGGAACTTACTGGGGTGAGCAAGGGGAATGTATAGGGATCCACAGCAGTCTCTGGATTGGTGCACTCCTGGGCTTGGGCGGCTTGTCCTGCGCTGATTAGTCAACTGGTTGCTATGAACTATATATAGGCCCTCCCAGAGCGGTTGCTATGCTCTGTATGCCACTGTTATGCCACTGCTACCATAAATCACATCCAAATCCTGCCAGCTAACTTCTGATTGGTTGCTTGTCACATGGAGGTATCTGACCTCTTAATGACCGGGGCAGGTCCAGCAAGGTCATAAGGCTGGAGTAACATGAGCTGAGTCAGAGGCCTACATCTTGCTGGGTCTCTTCTGCAGCCTGTCATGGCTGCTAAAGCAGGGGGCTGGGTGAGTCAGGCCTGGTCCTTTCAGGTAGATGGATCCATGACGGATGGGTGGATCCATATTTGTGTTTCGGGAGGGGTCTCTCAGAGCCAGGGAAAAGAAAAACAAAAAAGAGCCACATGGGCCAGGCAATGTCCTTGAATAACAGGTACCTTTCCTGGCATGCCAATAGGCACTCTAAGTAGCTATTTTGTCCCTTAAGGGAGTTTCCTTTTGATCTAACATTGCAGCCTCTTTGGGAACAAGGGGAAACATACTCTCTTTTGTTATTATTTCCTGCTGAGACTAGGATATTGTTTTCAGGGTCCAGGAAGGTTGGATGCTAGTCAAAGGCAAAGAGGGAATTCAGATAATGGGGCCTCCATCAGAAGCAGCTGGTTCACTACCCAGCTGAAGAGACAGGGAGCAATGACATGGACTAGACTGGTCCACATCAGCTTTCAGCAAGTCCAAGGCTAGCAGATGTTTGGAATAGGTTGTAGTCTGCAACTGATGCTTGGCTGCGTCTGTCGGCCAAGTGGAAACCTGCTGAGACAGATGTAGACTAGGGACAGAAGTTAAAATTGAGGAACTTAAAGGAAAATATTGTACTTAGAACTTTTAGGCCCATTGTCCTAGTAATTAGGGAAGGGTAGGAGTACCAAGACCAGGAGAGAGAGAATACCATCCTCAGGGATAGACAGGTAGGGAAACTTAGACTGTGTTTGTCTAGAGTCCTTTTGACCTGTGAGAAGAAGACTCAAGTCTTACGAATTCCCCAATTCTCTGAAGCTTACATGAATTTCTTAGTTTACAAAAAGACATAAAAGTTTTAGATATATTAGCATTACTAAATGTGTACTGAAATCCATATTGTAGAAAAGGCAGGTAAGGGCGTTGGTGGCGCACGCCTTTAATCCCAGCACTCGGGAGGCAGAGGCAGGCGGATCTCTGTGAGTTCGAGGCCAGGCTGGACCGACAGCCTCCAAAACAATACAGAGAAACCCTGTCTCGTAAAACCAAAAAAAAAAAAGAAAAAAGAAAAAAGAAAAGGCAGGTAAAACAGCTGAAGTAGACTCACACCTTTGAGTCCTAACAAAATCTATGGAGGTTAAAAGTCATGAACATTTTCTTTCTGTCCAGAAAGCCAGATGTGGATTGGAATGAAATGTCTTTAGCCCAGTGAGAAGCACCTTAGAATCTATACTTAGACAACAACCAAAAGAAATCTAAAATCTTGAGCTTGTGACTGAACAGTAAGTAGTCACTGCTCTACCATCTTATCAGAACTCTATTAATGTTAAATTCTGATACCATAGAAAGGGAAAGAAATCTGAACCATTTTGCATATCTTTTTGTTTTGTTTTGTTTTTTGTTTTTTTTTCCGAGACAGGGTTTCTCCGTATTGTTTTGGAGTCTGTCCTGGTACTCGCTCTGTAGACCAGGCTTGGTCTCCAACTCACAGAGATCCTCCTGCCTCTGCCTCCCGAGTGGAGTTCTGGGATTAAAGGCGTGCACAACCAACGCCCGGTGAACCATTTTGCATATCTTACATCATTCATTTATACCTTCATAACTTGCATTTACATCTTTTTTGTTTGCTTTTGTTTTTCAAGGCATGAGTTCCTCCGTAGCTTTTGGAGCCTATCCTGAAACTCACTCGGTATACCAGGCTGGTCTCAAACTCCCAGAGAGCTGCCTGCCTCTGTCTCCCAAATGCTGGGATTAAAGGAGTGCACCACCACCACCCAGCTGCATTTTCCATCTCAAGTCATTTTCTGAGACCCTCAGAACTTATTTAAGCTTTCACATCCGCAGACCTTTATATATCTTAGACCTCCAGAATTTACATAGACTTTCATATCCTCATACCTCTATATATACACCTTAGAACATTTTCTTAGACCCTCACACTTTTCATAGGCTTTAACATCCTTTCTTTCCATTTAATTACCAGAGACACAAGCAGTTCTTACTGAGAACAGTCATTTCAAATCATGTTCCTTTGGTGGAAAGTTGTACCTGAAACCTGTTTATCTTTTAATATGAAGCCTGTTGGCAAGGCAAACCTGTCTACCTTTTCTCAGTAGGAGACCTAGTAGCTATAGAAAAAGCAAGGCTAGATTTTTAGATATGAAATGAGCTAACAATCTGGCTGTGGCCTTGGGGAAGAACATGGTTGTCTGCTGCTGCTGCTGCTGCTGCTGTTGGTGTTGCAGCTGCTGCTAAGTTAACAAAGCTAGAGCTATCCTAGCCATCAATACCATCAGAGATCTGTGAAGGATAAATTATATCATTAAGTATAATT